GTACAGGAAACTATTAATTGCTTCAAAAAAGGAGTGGAGAGTTAGCCGACTTACTACAACTTTGTCAAAGAACGAGGGAAGCTTTCGATTTCTGTTGTGTCAGAGAAGGATTTCGAGCTCTTTTTCAGTGCATACTCTCACCCAGCTTAACAGTGGAAAAACTTAAATCTATAAACTTTGAAGAAGGAAAAAATACTCTTCAGTTCAAAATTTCTCGGGATAGGGTTTTTGACACAAGAAGGAGGAGAGCCTGGCGTTAGCCGGGCCATCCGACTGGTACAATACATATACCGAGTGTTTTTCAAAAACCTCTTTCCCATGCTCTCAGGATATGCTAGTATAGGCCACTAGTATATGCCTGCACTTAAGTATATGGTAAAAAATGTTAACGAATGCAGTTGAGGACTGTAGCATCAGAAGTGCCGTGTTTCTGAACCGAATGTCCAAGTGCTTGATCACTAAAGGATAGTGGAAATTCTGAAGGGAACTTTGTGTCATAATGATTGTGCTATTTTTCTTATTGACTAAAGCTGTTTTCAGATGATGTGAACCATCATGTTACCTATATCGCAACAATTAGCCTTCTGCTGTCTTCTCAGAAGATTTAGATTTAAATAAACATTTCGTTGCTACTGTAAATGTGATAGTTGCGCTGTAAAGAAGGAACACGGAATTTCGATGAGATATCATGCACCGTTCAGTCCAACATATGGTCGAACATACATACATATAGTCGGTGTACAAGGATGAACCTGGCGGTCCTAGTTCATGGCAGCCTGTTTCTATTTTCAACCACTCGGGTCGCACGGCTTGAGCCGGGCCTCATTCCTTACTTTTACAGCAGCTAGAAAGTGTAGTTAGGGGGAAGGGCATTGATTTTATACAACACTGACGGCTATAGTGCAGAGGAGGGGTAGCCAACCTGACTTGTACTTAGAAACGGTTCTAGGCGAAAGAATATGGTTTTAAGCTAAGCCTAAGTAGGAGAGGAGCAGCGGGTGGGGATGGGATGATTACCTCGTGCAAAAAGCTAGGATGGGGTATGGATTGAATATTCAACTGACTCACCCACCTCGGTACCTCTTCCCTCTTAGAGCTCGGATCAAAAAACTGTGTGTTCTCATCTTAGATATGCTAATGAGCATAATTATGGGTTAACCCTCATATGTTGAAAATATGTTGAAAAAAATCGAAGGTCTCCCAATTACATTATCACCTCGATTTTTGTTATGGAGTATAAAGCAAGATTTTCCTCGATATGGAGTATAAAGCAAGATTTTCTATGTCGCTGCCTATATCGTAATCATAAGTTTGGATAGACCAACAAACCGACAAACTTACAAAGCGACACCCACCAACTTCGTGTTTTGTAAATGAGAGAGATTAACACCGGAAGTACAAAAGCAACTGTTACTTAGTCTGAGTTGCTCAGAATGGTGTGAATCGCCAGCAGTACTCTGCTACTGGCCGATCTCTGAAGTGGTATCTATCTTGTTTTCTTCCGCAGTTCTGATCCTGAACGAACTGAATTTTACACGCAATGTGCAGTCATCTACACTATATCGCAAGCAGTCGATGCTTCTGTGTCGAATGTTTTCCAATGGTGAAAATTGGTCTTGCCTGAAGTTTCGACAAATTCGTTGCTCTCAAAGACACCAAAGCGTTACGAAACTTCGAACTGTTACCGATCAAGCTTCACGCAGACCAGCCCATAAGAAAAACAACAGCTTGGACCAGCTACAAACTAAATAGGGATTTCAACAAGTCATCTACGTCAGTTCCACCGATACCGAAAGGTAGCTTAAGTTTGGAGACGATAGGACAAGCGAGACTGCCCCGTCAACCACGACTCATCAACAGGGCATAACGTCATTTGCTTCTTGAATCGTCATCTTTGCGAGACTTTCGTATCGTGTACTGCGGCGAAATAACAGTAATTAATAAGAACATCAAGTCCAAGCTAACTCTAGTGTTCAATAGTC